CGGCCATTTTTCAAATGACATCCCTCACCTTCCTTGGGCTCTTCTGACTAATTTTCAATCCCATTTTTGACTGCTTTGCCCCCAGATGGGTGCCCCTGAATCTACAGAGATGATCCTGGGCCATACTGACACAATTCCGCCATTTCTCGGCCCAAACAGACCCCTCTTTTCGAAACAATCTCTGGGAGGTACTTTTCTTTTTCTGCGCCTCGTCCTGGCGGAGAATTTTCCTTGAATTGGGACACTGCACCCATAGGGTTTGTACACACATTGTCCAGCATGATGCGTGAGCAGTCCTCAACTTCGACCGAGAATTACTACCAGAACGAAAGAGAAATCAGACTAAATTTTCCCTTCCCTTTGATCGCAAATATACCCAAGTGTCCAATTACTGAATAATATTTCCTAAGGTTTTTTCTAGTTTGGACAAAAATCACGTGACATGAAATTAAAGAAGCAGTTTTCCTGCACACGTGTTTCTAGCCCATTGACTTTGTACACGTTTTCAAGAAACTATTTGGCCAATTCGATCAACATCAAAGTTACAGACAACAAAGACCCTGATGAAAGAATTTTGCTAAATTTATGGCGTTTTGTTGACGTCATCACCTATTTCAAAATTGATTTTTGAATATTTAATTTTGCCCATAGGTTTTGTACACGTTTTTCAACAGCCTATTTTCGGCATGTTGGTAAATGTACACTTGAAGTCCCTAATGGAGAGTGAGGCTCCCAAAAAAGAATCGTCAAAATTACTTCATCAAGGGTCACGTGACATGAGATTAAAACTTCAGCTTTCCCTTAGAGTTTGTACACGTTTTTCTGTTACGCAATATTATCGATCTCAATGAGAGTAGTCCTGAATTTCAACTGAGGATTGCTATGAGAACGAAGAAAAATCATATTTTTTCGTCTTCATTTGATTACATGTTTACCCAAGAGTCTCAGTGTCAAATAATATTTCCTAATTTTTCTCTCAGTTTAAATGCAAATCACGTGATATCATCTTAAAGGAGTAGTTTTCAGCCCATTGACTTTGGGTACTGTTTTGAAACCTTTGAGATATTTGATTGCTATGAAAGTGATAGACAACAAAGACCTTGATACAAAAATTATACTTAATAAATGACGTCATGATGACGTCATCTTGTGATTTATTATTGATTTTTCAACATTTACTTCAGCCCATTGACTTTAATTGTACACGTTTTTAACCCATCATTTTGGTAATTTTGAGATGTGTGGTCATCATCAAAGTTACAGCCAACCAAGACCTTGATAAAAACGTTTGGCTAATATTTATGACGTCATGATGACGTCATCAACTATTTTTCATTGATTTTTGAATACTTCACTTTCCACTACAGACTTCGAAGATGTTTTTCAAGAGCCAACATTTATTTCAGCCCATTGACTTTGTACACGTTTTCGTGACACTATTTTGGTAATTTGGCAATCTTCAATTGTAACCTAAGTTACAGCCAACAAAGACCCTGATGCAAAGATACGTGCGAGGGGACGTATTATGTCCTGAACCCCAAACAGGCCATGTGATGAAGTCAATGACAACATCAGACCCTTAACTTCCAGATCCCACGTGACGTCGTTTGCCATGTTGTTGTTGTTGTTTTAATGGCGCTTTCAGCCAAAAACTGTACGTTTATTCATACACTTTATTAATCAGCATCACATTACGGATTTAGGAAGAAGGTCCAGTTTTAGAGGCAGGAGAAAACCGGAGTACCCGGAGAAAACCCTACGAGAGGAGGGAAACCAAATGCACTCAAAGCCTGGACCAAGCCAGGAATCGAACTCGGGCCTCACTGGTGCAAAGAGAAGAAAGAACCACTACGCTAACCCGCTCCTGCTTCATTCACCATGTCAGAGTAGTTTGTAAGTCTATATCATATAGCATTACTTCGAGTCACAGTTATCAAAAGTGAAATTCATTTTTGCGCCAAAAGGATAGTGTAACAGATGTCATTTAAAGTGGTCCTGCAATCTTTTTTCTTACATTTTGTACACAGAAAATGTGAAATGTGCAATGAATTACTGTTATGTTATGTTTGATATTATCAAAGAATTTTTTTGAGTGACAATGCATATTTATGGTTATGCAAATAAGCTGGGGTTTGCAGACCGATGTGAAAGGAGTGTGTCTGATTGGGTTCAAATCTTTCAGATATCTTGAAAAGAGAGTGCTTTAGAGGAAAATTGACCTCATGTGATGATGACGTCATGAGGAGAAAAATCACGCGACATTAAAGTTGAACTCTTGAAGGCCCTACATGCATCTCCTGAAGTACTTGTTCGATTGGGTTCAAACCTTGCATTTATCTTCAAAGGGAGCTTTTCGGACGAATAATGAATTGATGTGACGATGACATCATCAGAAGACAAGTCACGTGACAATAAAGGTGAACTCCTCAAAGCACTATATCTCGTGAAGCACACATTCGATTGGGTTCAAACCTTGCAGATCTTTTGAAAAGGAAGAGTTAGACAAATATTGACCTGATGTGGTAAGGACTTCATCTTGTGACTGGTCACGTGACATTAAAAGTACATTCTTTACAAGCCTATATCTTTTGGTAGCCTATATCTTTTGGAAATTTGGTAGACAGATTTGGCAAGAGTTATAGACATCATGGTGACATCATGTAAAGGGTACAAACTTTAATTCTTTATCATGATCTCCTGATATCCAAAAGGATGAAATTTAAATGTGGTAGTACATATATCTCAAATGAAGGAATGCCCTTTTCTTAAGAAAAAGGACAATGCGAAAAAGCTCTTTGCTCTGTCCTTGAGACAGACAAAACCTCTAGTTTTATATGCGTCCGCAGTGGGATTCAGTACGCATGCGCAAAAACTGAGTGAGGGCGCGGCATAAACATACGTGCAAACCAGAGCAGCGAAACCAGTCTTGAGGAAAGACTATCGGTCCCTGTACGTTCTGATGACGTTTGTAAGACGTCTAGAGATTATGTACTTGACGGGAACCAGTCGACCACATCCAAAGCATATACATCACGGAGGATCCCGACTTGAATCAAGCCTAGCTAGTCGCGAGTTAAGGTCAAGTGGACCGGGTTGGCTAGGCTAGGCCGACATTATGAATAAAACTACTGCATGCACTGTAACAGCTGGCAATTGTTATGACGAATGAACATAGTAAAATGGATGGAAATGACAGAAATGTACACCTTTCAGCTCAGACAGAGTTTGTGATACCAGCAATTCTTGCAGCTCTTTCAGTACTTGCATTTGTTATCGGATCAATTATTTACGTCGTAAGCAAGTTGAACCATGGGAAGCGTGGTAAGCACATCCCCACATGTCTTCTACCATGTCTACCCCCAGAAGTGTGAGGTCTGACGTTTGCAAACTTTAATTCTTTATATCTCCTAAATGTGTGGACGTTGGAGTTCTGGGGGGCATATGTGATCATGGTCATGGCTGATGGCCGTGTTTGCAGGTTTGTGGCGTTCATTACCATCAGCAGTAGCACCCAGTATTATAAGGAAAACAAAGTCCTCTTTTTCAAACTGATTGACGTTCTGACCTTGTGGATCGATTCCTCAATCCTGGTACCATGCCCTAGGTCTAGTTTGGGTAAATTTTGACAATGTTTAAGCAAGAAAATCAGATAATGCCAGAAGTTTTACCCAAGTTCTGTGAAAGACGACCGCATCACGCCATTTTGTTTTTTGTCTGTACTTGACCCAGCAATTGTGGATAGGCTACTGAATTTCATAAAAGAAACTTTTATGGTTCCAGGTCAAGGAACCAGACTACATGCATGGATTCATCTTTGCGCACAGCTCTTTGTCGCGTCGTTTTACACTGCTATTTTACCCCATAATTCCCTCAAAAAGTAAAGCTCTTCCCTCTTGTTTCTGATATGAAAGAGGACATCAGTGCTAACTTATTTGGGTAAGTTGTTTTGAAAATGTAGACTTAGTTTCCTTATTATTGGAGGAGCGTGCTAATGGTAATGAATGATGTGTTTGTTTTACATGAATCTTGATCGTGATCAGTGATCCATTGTTCGTTTAATGATACCAAAACTCGCCCAATAGAAGGTGTGAACCATGGGTTAGGATCACTGATCAGGATTCAGATCCGTGCGAAACAAACAGGCCACGATGGTAAGTCCAATATGTCCATCGACATGAAAGAGCGAGGCCCAGGCCCTAGTTCATGTAGGCCCAGTACATCAAAATTAGAGCACTAACTCATCTGCTCATGCCATGGTGGCAGTGTCATTCGGTCACCTCACCAATTTACCACTTCGCCCATGGCCACAACCAGTTTTTGCACAATCACTTTGTCCATTTACAGTAACATTTCGCCCATTTACCACTTAACCCATTTGGCACTAAGCCCATTTGCCACTTGACCTATTAGCCACTTCATCCACACCCCCCTTCACTCATCATGCCCATAGCCTTCATCAAAGTTGGAGAGAGAGGAAGACTTATTAAAACAACCACCCAACCCCTTCTGAATCCACCCTGATTGCATTAAATAGCAATGTTTAATATATGTATGATAGGTTTAGAAACTGTCGAGATTTTCTTTGATGAACATGTAAACCAATGCAGTGCTGTATAATATAGGCTGACCCAGCACTGGCGCATGTAGTGAGAACAGCGTGAAATACCTGAGCCACTCCTGTGACAGCATTAAGTACATTCCAACTTTTGACAACCTGTATTTGATACAAAATGATAAAAGAATATTTCAGTTACTCATTTCATAGCATGAGACATATTAGAGTCATCCTCATGCATCTAGGTATTTACCACTTCTCATGAGGTCTCAGTACAGTGCACACTGTTTGAAAATTTCTGAGCATTGTAACAGAAACAGTGCTTTTCAAAATGCATTTATTTTGTTGAAGTCTTGATGTGTTGATTTTTGAATCCGAAAACTTGCACGCAGTAAACTGTTAGGATGCAGAGATTTGTTGATTAATCACAGGCCTTCATGTACATGTAGGTGCTTGTGAAATTAGGGCATGCATAGAATACCACATGATGTTTTGGAAGTTATTAATTCTCATTAATACTTGGGATTTGTAATGTCACCAGACCTCTCATGGTCTAAACATATTGATATTATTACTGCTAAAGCTTCTAGAGTACATGTATTAGACCTCATTTTGAGAATATCTGGGGGTCACAATCTCAGTCATAACGAAGGGAAGTTTTGCTATGACTGTACAAGTATAAAGGATTATCAAGTCTGTCCATCCTTAAAATATGGTGTTCAGGTGTGGCAGCCCTACCGGTATCAAACCAGTCACATTCGTTCACTTGAGTGTGTACATGTACAACATAAAATTTAACTAGGATTATTTTCAATTAGCGCACAACTCCGTATCATATCACCTGGTTTGTTTAGGTACATGTTTTTCCTCACTTCATTCAAGAATTTGGTACACGTATCTCTCTTTTTGTTGTAAGTGCTTGCATGGGCTATACAGTGTACCAGTTTTCAATTATTTATCCATCAATAGTCGTAGAAATGACGCACTTCATTTTACTCATCCGTTTGCCAGAACTGATGCTTTCAACCATCCAGGTTTTCCTTAGATTTTCCCCGTACATTGAGTTCACTCCCCAGCAAGTTAGATATGAATTTCTTTTTAATCTGAACAGTTATAAAACAATGCTGAAGCTGGTTTTAGACACTTTTAGTGGTTGTATGTTACTGTACTGTACATGTAAGTGTTATTCTGTGGATGGACCAATTGCTGCTGGAGCTAGCATTCCTTGGCTTGCTTCTTTGCATGGGTTTGGGTTATTTGTGGTTGAGTTTTATCTTTTATCTGCCTTTTTGTATTGTTCATCTAGTTTATTTGTTTACAGGCACTTTCAACCGTTTTCAGTAGGTTTTTTAGGTTATTTTATTTATAGGTTGTATCTGATCTTTTCTTGTAATGTCTTTTTCTTTTCGTTTAATTTTGCAATGTTGCACTGATGCAGTCAGAGAGCCCCTTGATGAGCCTTAATTTGGCTTTTCGGGGAATCCCACGGGCCTGCATATGGCTCAATTTGTCGATTTGGATTTGTGTTTTATGTTATTCAACTGGTTTTGTTCACATTTCTTGTTTTTGCTGTATTTATTGTGTGCAATGTCCATTTGTTGGTTTCATCTTACAGTAGTTTGTAATTTGTATAAATGTATCGTCATTTGTCCATGTTTCTTGTCCGAAAAATTATCTAAATGAAATGAATTGACTTGACTGCACTGCACAGTACATTGCACTTTCATGTACTGCTTGAAAACCAATTTTGTTGTTCCTGTACATGTAAATGCATCTGTAGCCGGCTCTATATTCTAAGAGAAGCATCCCTACATGTACCGGTATTGTATCCAGCCTCTTCTCTTCCTGGACTGCAGGTGCAGCTGATAGGCACAGCCATGGGCATGAAGTACAGGCAATACCAAGGGAAGAGGATGATTTGGTTGTAGGAGCACACGTCATGCCTGTGCGCAGAGCTAGAGCTGCCAGAAACCGTATGATGAGACAAGCAGTCAGGCAAGAGCTGGAAGGTTGGTTGAAGGGGTTATAGGGGTGCTTTTTGAGTGCTTCAGCCTGGCAGAGATTTTTCCTTGAATCTAACAGTAACAGTGCACCCTTTATACACGCCCCCTTTTCACTTTCTGACACAGAAATAACACTGAATGGTTGTGAATATATCAAAAACCTCAGTTTCAGAGAAATAATGAAAAAGTCAATTGGCTGTGTTATTGGGAGAAAATGCTCAAGGTCGGCTAACGGCAAATGTGCACAAACAACAGTAACTGCCTATATACACTTATTACTAGTGCAGACAGAATGTGCCATCAACTTCTGAAAATTACATTTTCCACATGAGCAGCTTTAACAAGCTGAACGTTCCTACTGAAAAGGGAGGGTTAACCCCTTGGCCAGACAGTGCCAATAGACATGACAGCAGAGGCCAAGTGCACGAAAGACATGAAACTGCAGCCATGCTTTGACTTGAAATCTCACCATATAAGTTACTCCAGTTGACAGGGTCCAGCCCAAGAGTTGAAAACCTGAGCCCAAAATAGGGCATTTCAAACACAATTTGAGTGGAACAATTCACAAGGAGAATGTTTCAAGAACTTTCAGTCACCTGTGCATATCCATGGCTTGGTGTCTGGCAACGCTTTAAATAGTGCCTAAATCAGTCGCAAATGCCACCAAATTTTTGCCAATGCGATAATATTTTTACCATAAAGTCACCATTTGCGATTTAAGATAGCTTTTTAACATACAAAATGTACTTGAACAATTTGAGTGTGCTTAAAAATCAAAAAAGCAATGATTATGTACTCAAAATTCCTTCCGGAAAGGTAGAAAGGGCTGCACAAGTCGCATCGTGAATTTGAAGCTTACCATTTGCATTGCACATGTACATACTGTACATGTATACGATACTGTACATGTGTCTCGATCAAATGCACGTGTTGGTTGGTTCCTGATTGAAACATACATTGTTGATGCACTGTATACGGAAACCAGGACCATTTTAGAAACCATGGCTTGGGCTCCATTTTGTGCTGCTTTTTTGCTGCAACATAAATAAAGCCTAAAATGGAACTCATCCAGAATAAAGAGTGCCGCTGTGATTTAGAGTGTCAGAAATGGTGCGATTCGTGTAGCAGGGTGTCCCACAACACAATGAAACTATGGACGTCATAACATCCGTGGCCGAACCCCTTGGCGAGCTTGAGAACCGTGATTTCGTTGATTGACCTCATCGGCGCTCGTGTACATGTGTACGTTGTGCAGTGTATGTGTGCCAGGCTGGGTCATGATTCAATGCCATGAACGATGTAAACACAATGTATTTATGCTACAGGTGTGTACGTACGTTCGTGAATATTCAGCGCACGTGATTATTAAACTTTCATAAAAGTGCTGATGCCTAGATTTTTCCCCATTAGGAACCAATGGCTTTCAAACAATTTTTTTTCTGAGAGAATTCATTTTTTTAGCTGATTTCAGCTTTTTTTATTGACATGTAAATGTTGACCCTGAATTTCAACTTTTTTGTACACCTGATCTGTGCAAAAGTATGGGAACTTTTTACATTTCCACTTTCGGCTGGCTGTTTTCAGCTTTAATATTAAGTGGCCCCTCACCCCCTAAAGATTGAACCCTTATACTCTTGGTTAGGTTTGACTCCTGTTTATGGGGTTGGCCTTCATTAGGATTAGCCTTCATAAGCAGGGTTTTCCCCAGGATTTTGCAAAATGTGTGGTGAAGGCCTCGATCTTTACTGCAGCCACTGTGGCCAATGGCTGCGTGCCCTTCCAAGTTGGCCGTAATGCCTTTCCAAAAAAGTCACGTCGCGGCCACCTTGGCCAATGTGCCCCTCCCCTTTGCAGCCGGCTGTATGTGTAATGAGAGTGTACCATGTAAGCCAATGCATGTAGCGCGATTCCGAATTGCGGCGAGTTCAACCTTTTGGGCTGCGTTCGAGCGAGCTACTCGTGCTAACCCAAGTACTATCCCGAGCGCACGAACTGCAGGAGTACCGTCCTCAGGTCAGCGAGAGTATACATGTACTCACCATCAGCGGAGTATACTCCTGACCCGAGTGTAATGTGCGCGCATCCACACTCAGGTTATCAGGAGTAACAACGCGAACCCAGGCTTGGATATCATTATCAGGGCTGCACCAGTGAGCAGTGTATTTTGAATGCAAATTTGCACGACTAAGTCGGAAACCAGGCGAGTGCTTATTGTGTTAAGAAAAAGTTTTGACCATTCGCAGACGCCCATCTAGGCCTAGGCCTACATGTATATCTCAAAATCATGCCGTCACACGATCATATAAAGAAATGCAAAAAGGATGCTTTCTTTCGGGAGGGCTCAAAGTGCCAGATGCTTTAAAACCTGTTTTCCAGAAAAAGGTAGGGATCAAGTATTTATAAACTTGTAAACTCCAGCAAAGTGGGCACTCAGTCTTGACTTGAAAAAATAATGACTTCAAAATGCCGACATGTGCTGCTTGCTGACTTACGTGGTATGCTGCCTTAATACACACCTGTACATGTACCATCCATATAATTCATTCCACCAGTTTAATTGCTTTGATCTGCCCTGGTTTATGTCTATCTCTGTTGTCGATTCAGGTAAGTTTGTCCTCGACTTTGATAATCGCCCTGTATTGAGGGCAGCCCATGCATGCCGTTTGTACTGACATAATACTAGTATGCACGGCACATGTCATGCACGCGGAATCTAGGGCCGCGGTTGCAAGTAAAACTTCGTTCAATAGGGCAACCCCCTAAAGGGACAGAGCCCATACGTGTGCTCTAGAGAGGGTACTGGTATTGATGCAAATATTGGGGAAACCCTTTTGTGGTCGCATGTGCGCACGCAATGTACATATATTTAGGCCTACTCCACGTATCGACAACGAAGCTCCAGGAATCGATTGTTTGTTTACAGCCCACTTTATACTGAGGATTTTTTTAGTGGTTTTGTGGAAAAAGGAACCAAGAAAATATGCAGACTTGAACGAAACAATGGCTTATAAAGGCCCACTAAAAAATTATCAATGGAAATGCATCAACGCACGATCAGTACTTTACTAAAAGGCCGACTTACGAGTTGCACAATGCCGACTTGATCGGAGTTTACCGTAACCATTTAGCAAACAGTAAACATTTAAAAGGATCCCCATTTCATTTAAATAAAAGGATACACACTATTTATTACATTTTAAACTTCGCTTAAGGGAGTTAGGAATCCTTGAATTCTAATGGGAAAGGGATACAAAATCTAAGCAATCATTAAAAGGAGGATTAACAGATCTGTGCATGGTGAGTCATTTCATATTTTAAAGGGATCTAAACTGGATAATGCGGGACTCTACATTGGATAATAGGGCAGTTCCATGGTGTCGGACGTACATTTTGGACACTTCTACAGTGTGTGTTATTATACTTATAATCCTGAAGCAGATTTTGATTTTGATAAAAGACATCAGTTAGTTGGTACATTCATTTAATAACAAAATTTCTCACTCAGAATTATTATTCTTGTAGAAACTGACTCATAACACCATGGTGTCTGATGTACTCAGAGAAAGTTAATTTTTTGAGTTTCCAGTTTTGTTTCACAAACTGTGTGAATTGCTTGGACCTGAAGAAGTAGTTTTCCTGTGTATAGTTTTAGCAGACCCTTGTTAATGAACTTCAAGGCAAGACACATTTTTATCTTGTTGTGACTTTCATATAAAGCATTTGTTATATTGGTGTCGGACGTACATTTTTTGGTGTCTGATGTACACGTCCAAACTAACTTTTCAGAGTAGAAGGTAAGTTCAAACCCAAGCTTGTCTCATTTTTCTACCTTCATGAAGGCTTTAGTAAACTTTCCGAACCAAAAGAAAATGCCAAGCCATACAAAAATCATCAAAAGCAACTAGAAAGGAATTGCATGATGGGGCATTCAATGAAACAGTATGAAGGAAAATATTGTCTAGAAGTATTTATGCAAATTTTGCTCATTTAAACAAGTCATATACCGTCAAACATTCAAACTAAAAAACAGTTTTGTACAGTTGACAATCCTTTAGATAAATAAATTAAATTAAAAGACAATTGAATACATGTACCTGTAAGATCTTTTGGTCTTAGAACATGAAATTAAACAAATGCTGCATGTGTACTAAGCTGCAATTTTAAAGATTTGCAGTTCACACTTCACAGGTTATTGTACACATGTACAAATTAGTAAAAACCAAAAGTGAAGCCTATTTGGTACTTTTACAATGTTGGGGCCTCATTTCCATCTATGCAAATGAGGTGGTAGTGGTTCTGTACAGTGTAAAAGCATCGTATTGCCAGCAATGCATGGTTCTGACAGTGTCGGACGTACAGGGTGTCGGACGTACACATCTGATTCCACAGTTTTTGAGTATTTGAAAATATAATTGGGGGAGTTAAGCTGATGTCTAGAAAGAAGGAACTCATTGTGCTTTGTATTGTCAATTTGGCAGTCTTTTGCTAAAGGGTGAGGGGATAAAAAACTATGTCATTTTGGTGTCAGACGTACATAAGAAAAGTAAGTGTTATAAAATGAGACATTACATAAAATTTCAAAAGGAAAATGAAAATTCATTTCTGTCATCGTTTTTTACTTATTGGGGCACTCTTCAAACTGTAACAAAACTGGAACAAAAAAAATATCTTCAGGCTAAAAAACAAAGTCTTTCAGAGGGGAAATATTTTCCCCAATTTCTCGGTATTTAAAACCAATTTTTCAGTATCATATAAAAGCCAAATTTTCAATGTTGTTAGAAATGAAGTATGTTTCATGAAAGTATACACCATAACTTTCAAAATGGTATATAATTTGTCACATTTGGGCCAGTTTGAAATTTTGGCCCAGAGGCTGATGTTTCCGTGGAACTGCCCAATAGCATTTTTAGGGGACCCTACATAGACTAGGCCTACAAAATATTTTAAAGGTATAATAGGTTAATAACATTTAAGGGGACTCCACATTGAACAACAATATTTTAAAG